GCAAGGTTCAGTCAGAGATCTGGGGGTACATGGGAGTGAAACTGAAGTGTCTGCAAAGGGGAGAAAAGGCAGACATGATGGGGGCAGAACTGAACAAAGGCTTATAAACAGATCAACCATGGTACCTGCAACTTCTGCCACTCTGTCTGTCATTTCTGTCCCTTCTCCCCCATCACCCATCCTCCAACAGGACAGAATGCCCGCCTCCCCCAGCTCTGAGGAGCCCATTCCACAAATGCCTGAGTCTGGAAGCCCTGGCTGCCAGCAGATTCTCTTTTGGGCTGACCCAGATCCTCCCGGCTGCAGCAGGAAAGCGGACACTCATCATCCATAGGTAGAGATGCCAAGGAGATCAGTACTATTGCGAGGCCTGCCAGGTCCCCAGGCCCTCAGTGTGGGTACCCAAAGAGGTTGCAGGTCACTCTGTAGCCTTGCCAGGGTAGGGTTCCCGAACGTTTACTGGAACTGCCATGAGGAAGCACCTGGACTTCGAAGCAATTATGAAAGCTATAGGGACAGAAGCAGTGTGTTCATTCATTAACAGCAAAATGCACTAAATTATCTTAGCAAGTAAGGCAAAATGGCAGTTCAGGGGCTGGCAGAAATGCATGTCATCAGCCTTCCAACACGTCAAGAACAAGGATCACATTCTGCAGAAACTAGTTCGAAGAGGATATTGAAACACAAGAAGCAGGAAGGAAAGGGAATAGCATATAGACTAGGACCCAGGGAGAGATCCTAATGACCTGTGAATTATAGGACTGAATGGCCTGTGAATTATAGGACTGAAAAGGGAATTAAGGTCTGAGGAAGAAAAAGGCAGGAGGAGTCATGAGCCAAGGTAGAGGAGAGATGTTGTGCTGAACTCGGCCTATCAGCAGTGGATTAGAGGCCCCAGGATATCCCGAGGCAGAAGCAAGGTTGAGGCAGGAAGGGAAGAAAGCAGGCTGCTTCCCTGAGCTTGGCTCTTGCACTCAGACCCAAGGCTGCAGGGAGGGACAGAAGGGCTTCGCCTCATGGAGCATGTGGCCTGCAGGGAGGGAGCCTGGACTGGCCACATGACAGCACATCTGTGGCCTGGGAACAACAGGGGGTAGACAGAGAGGCAGCGAGGAGGAGGCAGAGGGAGAGCCCCCAAGTTCCTAGTCTCAGTTTCCTATATTCAAGCTGAGTGGGATGGAGCCATCACCCATGACACTCCACCTTTTCTCACCCCCACATTCTGCCCTGGCCTGGCTGAGGGGAGGAATTTGGGGTTCCTGCTTGCCTTTCTGTCCTATTACACGGAGAACAGGACGTCCTCCACAAGGAACATGATTCCGCCCCTCAGACTTCTTTGCACCTTGTATACCTTTTAGTGAGAAAACAAAGCACCGTGGTTGGAGTCTGTTGAGAATAGCTCAGGTGCCTGGTCTCAAAGGTCTCTGGGCAGGGTTGTCCCTCTGAATCTTATTTTTGCATTAACTTGAAGCCAGGCTAGAGCCCTGGGATGTTCACATGAAATATTTAGCAATGATCTCAATCAACTACATCAGAACTTCTAGGGATGGAAGCCAGGCACCATTATTATTAGAAATCTCCTAAGTGGTTTTAATGTACCTTCAGGGTTAAGGACCACGGGGCTCACAGGGTCAGGAGCTGTAGCACTGACAGCATCAGGAGGTGAAGGCTCATCTATGCGGAGCTGAAGGATGATGACCCAAGGCAGGGCCCCAGTTTGAAAGGACAATGATGAGGCCTGCCCAGAGGGTGGTGGGAGTGAACAAATCCTATCAGCTCAGGGATGTTGGCGGGGAGGAGATGTTTGATTGCCAGGATGCTGGGGATGAAGGTCACAGACCCTGTCTCTGAGGGCTGGCATGTGTCTGCTCCACAACACCCAGGGTTTCCTGCCTGCTAATAAGCAGCAGCTCATTAGTGGTGCCATCCGGTCACCATTACCGCAGCTGAGGTGCAAATGGCAGGTGAGGAACACCCTCAGACATAAGTGCAGATTTAACTCTCCTCCAGGTGCCTGCCTCCAGTGAGGTGCTGAAGAAACAACCCCATTCGTTGGGGCAGGGTGCAGGGCTCAGCCTTCCCGCAAAACCCCTCAGTGCTGCTTCCAGCAAGGTGAGGTCCACTCACCTTCAGGACTGATATCCCAGAACCATGAAGACAGTTCCTGGGTAAACTGAGGCAGCCTACTTGGGCCACAAGGTTAAAAAGGAGGCCATCAAGAGGGGGTGGAAGTGAGGACCACAGACCCCCATCCTCTGCTGAATCATACTCCACTCCTGAGGTCCTTGAGAGCCCCGGGGGAGGAGGTGGGCGTTCTCAGCACTCTTCTATGCTGTCTACAATCAGTTTTGTCAGTGACCCTAAGGGCTCTCTGTACACTCTTGCTTGTGAGGATTGGCTAAAAGGGCAGCTGAAACAATTGGCAACTCTACCAACATGAGAAATGCATGCCTGTGACCGACGGACAGATTCCACTTTTGGGGCTCTGTCCTGTAGAAACTGGAGCACAAGTCTGTATTATTTGTATCCAAACAACAGGAACTTGCAAAATCTGTTATAAAACGGTAGGACTAGTGTTACTAGTTACTATGTAGCCATTTAAAAAGAATACGGGTGGTCTTTGCAAGACCCTCCACACCAAATAGTATTTACTGTAGAATTCCATCTATATGAAGTTCTAGACCAAGCAAAACGAACCATGAAGTTCAAGAACAAGCAAGATGAACCTGTGGGGAAAGCGGCCAGAACAGTGTCGGGAGTCAGGGGAACTTGCTGGATTCTGAAAGTGTTCTACATCTTCCTCTGGGTGAGGGTTACATGGGTAGATACTGTATGAAAGTCCAGGGAGCCAGAACTGAAGATTAGCACTTTTTAAACACTAGATATATGTTACACTTGAATATAAAAAGCCAAAAAAGAGGACTAAGTCACTCTAGAACTAACTTGGGAAAACGGTGAAGAAAAACAAAACAGAAGTTGCAAAACAATATGCAGACTTGCATTTTGTAAATGTGTAAGCAGGCCCAGGAGAAAACCTATTATAGGGCTTCCCTCCCAGTAGAGGAACTGCATGGAGGTAAGGGCATTTTGGTGCTATTTGCATTTGTGATATTTGCCCCCACATTCTGGCCCCTCATCTCACACTACCCTCCACTCCCCCTCCCAACAGCGCCCTCACCCCATCCTCCCTGCCTCATGCAGATGCCAGGACTTTGACCTCACATCACCCCATTCAGCCTGGCCTCCTACCAGCAAGGTCAGGGGCTCACCCTGAACAGACCCCCCAGCCACGCCCTTTACACAGACACCTTCCAGGCCCAGTCTCCTCCCTCTGAGGAGTAGTCAGCCCCACTAATTGGTCTTCACAGCCTTGCTTACAAATGATCCCAGAGGTGAATTCTGGTCACATCTCCAGAGGGGCAAATGAACCCTTGCTCCCTTGCTCTGTCCCGTCTTTAATATGGATGTGATACCTGCAGGCTACAGTTTGTCACACTGTGAGAATTATTTCTCCATTAAAATGCAGGAGTTGGAGAGTTGCCCAGAAAGGACAGCTAAAAATACTGCTCTCTGGGGCTCTTGTCACTGGGAGACTTAGTGGTCACCATCCTCTCCCCTCCCCTCAGTGGGCAGCCAAGTCCCACCCCCACTGGGTCCCTCCCTCAAGCACTTGATTCCATATGTCTGAGCCAGATCCCAGTCCTGCAAAGAGAAAAAGCACCGATTACCCCTTACGCTTCTGTTTTACAGATGGGCAGACTAAGGTACACACAGCATGCTCCAGGACACTGCACTCTGTTCCAAAATCGCCCAGGGAGCAAGAAGCCCTGGCTGTGGGGAAGAAAAAGCCACCCTTCCAGGTATTCAGACCTTAGTGGTTTGCAGGGTCTTCTTAGCCCCTGGCTGCCCCACCCTCACCTTTCTGTGAACAGGAACTGTGGCTGTGCCCACCTTGAAGTGGAGTCAGACAGGTGAGCAGCTGGCTCAAGGGCCAGGGCAGGGGGATCAGCGAAGGTAGAGTCTCCGCTCAAACCCCACCCAGAGCACAGTGGTGGACTCTGGGTAAGGTGGCCTGCCTCTCAATTTCATAATAAGAGCTTCAATTAGTAAAAAAAAAAAAAAAAAAGTCGCAGACTTTTCAGGGCAGGGCTCCTTATCCCTACTAATAGATAGGATATTTAGGTTCAGAGGTACAATGCACTGGGTCACAAATTAGCAGAACTGAGAACAAAAGTCAAGTGTTCAAGCCCCAGCCCAAGCACCCCCCTGCTGTGCCTGCCCCAGTGGAGGTGGGGTGGGTGGGGTGGTAGGGAGAGCTCTGGTACCGACTCTTGGTCTCTGCTGAGACCCCAGAAGGCAGCGGGGAGCCAATGAGTGAGCAGGGCATGCTCTGTGGGATCCATACCCCTGAATCCAACTCTCTGAAACTTGCCTGCCTACCACATTCACCCCCTCTTCTCAGTCTTTGGAAATGGAAGGCAGTGAAAACCTCAGGCCTGTTTTTTCATAAAGGAAAACGAAGGCCCAGAGAAGCAAACACCCTGCCCAGGATCACAGGGCACAACTAGGCCTGGACCTGGATTGGGACTTCTCACTCAAGTCTGATGCCCATTTCACGGGGCAGCCACTAACAGTGTGCAGAACTCGTTTCTTGGGGTCAGCTTCTTCCTGGATCTCAGCTTCCCCATCTGCAAAAGGGGAGCATTAGTAGTGGCCCTAAACAAACCTGGGGGCTGAGTCTTCTCAGACAAAGATACTTCTAGGGATAGGTCCAAGCAGTAACCAAAACCTTGGCTTTCTGAACAGCCAGCTTCACTTGACCAAGGGAAACAGCTTGGGGAGGGGGACAATGACCAAAGCGACCTCATGCCTTAAAGAGAGCAGGGAGACCCTGGCTTCCCCCTTCCAGGCTGAAATGTCCAGGAGAGTACTTCCTGAGTCCTGAGGGTTAACCTGTTTCCACACACTGCAGAGAAAAAGGTTTCTACAAAGGCATTTATTTTCCCCAAAATACACCCCCAGTTAACAAAATTTTTCAGAGTCCCACATTTAAATTAGAAATTCTGACATCTTCCATTCCTGGAGAAGGGAGATGGCCATGGGAGGACATCAGTTTACTCCACAAGAGGCTGGGGTCACAGACAACCGGAAGCGTCTGCCTTCGCCCCAGAATTAGCACCATGGTACATGTGAAGTTGAGTTTGTGTGTGGTGGGTTAGGGGGCACTGTCTCCATGGCCCCTATGTGCTGCGGCTCTAGGGACCTGGAGGCCTTGGCCACCTCCACACCTGTTCACACCTGGAGAGACACTGGAAGCCATCAGATTCTTGAGCTGTGGCAAAAGACTCCATTCCTCTCTCCAGGTCCCTGCCCCTGCTCGGGTAAGGCAGTCAGGGAGCTGTGGGCATAGAAGAGGGGTACAGTAGGGAGCAAGGCAGGAGCCCCCCAAGTGAACCACAGGCTATAGCAGGCAGGTGTCAATTTCCTCACTGACATCCCAGAGAAGGCAAGGCCCTTGTCTTCTCACTTTGGGTCCCCAGCACCTAACAGAGAGCTGACACCCCAAAGTTGCTCAATGAATAGGACCTGAATGGATAAACAAAAGGAAAGGAGGGAAAACACAGAGGGAAAGGAGCTACTCCCCAGGGGGCGGCAGGGGTGCCCAGAGCCACAGCACATGCAGCAGTGTTCCCATGGTGGGGGTCTGGGGGATCGTCACAGGCACAGTCCCAGGCACCGGAAGAGAGTGGGCAGGGGCAGTCAATACGTGGTCCAGCACGTGTGCCCCTGGGGTGGGGGTGTCTTCACTTAGAGTGGGAAGAAAAAGGCCAACATGGGGGGGGGGGCTCTAGACGAGCCTGGGCTACAGGTGGGAACAAAGGCTGAGAAATGCTGACTAGCTTCTCAGGCCCATTAGAGGAACAAGGTGAAGGATGAGCATCGTGTCTTTGGAGAAATATGACGGAGGGTCGAGCTGGATAATGTGTCCATTGGAGAAACAAGGCAGCCAGATGGTCTATGCAGCATGTTCAGTGCAGAAATAAGGTGTCAGGTGGTCTGTGGATTGTGTCCACAGGAGACAAGGCAGCAAGATGGTAATGGATCATGTCACTGGAGAAATAAGGCAGCAGGATGACTTGGGAGTCACGTTCACTCAAGAAATAAGGTCGCAGGGTGGCCTATGCATTGTGTCCTTTGGAGAATGAGTAGACCTGCTACCATGGGTCTCTGGGGGCAAAGGGGGGCGGGGGGCGCTGAGTGCACAAGACAGCTGCTGGCCCAGGAATCACACAGAGGTGCCAGTGCTGCCAGAGGCAGGACCCCCAGGGGAGAGACAGCAGCTCCATGGTCCTCTGGTCAGGCTATTTCTTGTCCATCATCTGCAATTCAGTGGAAACAAGGGGGGGGGGAAGCATCAAAGGCCAGGAGTTCTAATTTGGGGAGTGCCAGAGCCCCTTGTCTGAGGCCCAGGGAGCATGTGTGAGGGGCCCAGCAGCCCCTATGCTAAGGGCTGCCCTCCAGGCCCACACAGACACAGCACAGACAGGCCGAGAGGGGACCTGAGGGAGATTAGCCAGCCAGGCTGCCTGTCCATCCCCCGGACCTACTCACCCTATGCTCCTGCCTCCCTGGTTCCTCTGCCTGGCCAGCTTTCCCTTCCCATCTCCCTGCCTGTCCATCAATCTGTCTTCCCAGTCTGGCCCACTTTCCGCTGCTCGAGGGGGAAAACCCCTTTCTCCTTCCCCACTGACTCTGCAAAAGCAATACTGTGGGGGATCCTCCTTTCCTCTGGCTCCTGGTCTCCATGTAGAGGGGTGCTTGGTAGATTGTCACCCCTGGCTTTGTCACCTCCCTGACCTGAAGGGAAAGTTTAGAAGGACTGGGGGGAGCCATCCCTCTCCTATTCTCAGGGCCACCTGTCCCCGAAAGTAGCTCTCCCTTCTGGGGATCACCTCTGTGCTTTCTCCAGTGTGGTCTGTGGCTAGGAGCCTGGCTGTTGTTTGGGGGAGCAGGGTCAGGAAGCCACCACTCCGCATGCCAGGCCACATGCTCTCTTCAGAAACCAAATAGACATTTATCTCCATCTGCTGGGTCCTTCTATGCCTCATTTGGTTCAGAACAACAGGAGAACATTCATTTCCCTCCCTCCGGACTCCAGTGTAGGTCTCATTACTGCCACTGAACATTCTACAGCATTTTAAAAGCTGGCTTTAGAGCGCCTTTCTTTGTTTGTCAGCTGGCTCAATCCTGACAGCCACTCATAAGGGAGATATGACAAGATTTGCCCCATTTCACAGATGAGGGAACAATCCCTGGGAGCTCATGGGCACAGAAGAGAGCCAAATTTCCTGCCAACCAGGGGGCTCTTTCTTTGACACATCAATGCCTTTCCAAGGCCTCTCACTCCCTGCAGAAAGCTGGATCTATCACCCAGGGTAATTCTGCACAGGTACTGAGATTCCCCCCCCCCCCCATCCTCTAGACACATCCTGAGGACAGGGCTGTGATTGCCCTTCTCCGGAGAGGAAAGCCAAATATTGGTATCAATGTCCAAAAATTGGGTGAAACTTTTCTTGGGTTGCCAAAGCAACCCAGGAAAAACCTAACTTCTGGCAATCAACCAGATATGGTGACCATATCTGGACAATCTGTCCCAAGGAATATTTTGTTCAAAACACATATTTCCGTACAAACACACATATGTGGCTATTGGCTACTTTCAATAAGAAAGAATCTCCTACTAACCTCCAAGTGACCCCTCCCCCATGTCCACTCACTTGTCCCCCACTCACCTGCCAATGCATTCACTCCCCTTCCACATCCCAACGTCCCTAATAACTGCTGCTGTTAGACTATGGGCACATAATGACTGTGAACATTCACCCCCCGACCCCCAAGGCCCAGGCACAGGGCTGCCCGTCTAAAGAGACATTTGCTAGCCTCACTTGTGTTAGGGGTCCATTGCTTGGTTCTGCCCAATGGGATGTATTAGTCAAGCCCCAGAAAAAAATGTACCCCCTTCTTGTTTCTTCAGAGAGCACGGGGACTGGCATAACCACATTGGACCTGGCTGGAGAAGCTCCAAGTTGAAGAGATTGGAAAGCAGGTAATTGGAAACCTGGGCCCATAAGGTACCCTATGCTTAGCCCATTCTGGGAGAGAGACACAAACTGCTGTCCTGGGTAGGCCCCTGTCATGCTGGGGTCCTATTAGAGCAGTGGAGGCCTTGCTTGCTCCTCCCTCTCTCACATCATGGCATGCTCTTCCGGGGAGGGAGCCTCAGGTCCGAGTGCAGGGTAGTTATCACCCCACCTCCAGCAACCCCAGCCTGCTCCCCTCAGCGGGCATGCACATAATCTCTAGCGCATGTGTCTTTACCTTCTTTGCTTTCAGCATGTTTCAGGGGTCGCAGGGCTGCAAAAGAAGGGATACACAGTGAGGGGGAGCCCTGGAAAACAGTGGGTTAAGGGGTGGGCAGGGGGACTGGAGTCCAAAATGAGGACTAGAGGACTGGAAGGGGGAGGGAGGCAGTGGGAATCGGGGATAGGGATGGGGGGAGGGCAACATCACAACAGCCCAAGTGGGGGGTCTCTGTCATCTGTCATGACCCCTCTGAACCTCAGTTCTCCTTGTGGGGAGCACTCCCCTGCCCTCTAGATAATGGAGATCTAAGTGCGCAGGATGTTGCAGAGCTGACACCAATCTTCCAGCCAACGCTGCTCCCCACTCCCTCCCCGCTGCCGACCACATCTGCCTCTGAGCATGAAGAAATGAGGCCTGATCCCAGGGCTGTCTCCACGTGCCACACCCAGACACACAGGCAGAGAATTAACTGGCATCATTTACAGCAGTCCCCAGGTATCAATCTCCGGCCATTCCTTCTGTGGAGGTGGGGAGGGCCCAGTGTCCGCTGGCCATGTCCCAGATGGCTTGGCAGGAACTGTCCCTTCCAGGCCAGGTGCCCGGGTGGGGAAGGCAGTAAGGCCTCCAGCAGTCACAGGCCTTAGGCACATTAATATAATGAGATAACAGGTTGTGTGCTAACCCTCACAAGTTATGAAGGCAGACAGTAATAATGAAGAGAGTCTCAGAGAAGCAAAGCAACTTGCTGAAAGTCACTAATTTATACGAGCTGAATCTAGAACTGAAACTAAGCTTTCCTGTCCCCTGAGTCCTTATAGCCCCTAGGAAGCCACCAGACTCCACAGTTCAAGGTGGATGGGCCTGTAGATGGGTCAAGGTAGACAGGAGGGATGAAACGGGAAGAGAATCAGGGCAGCTCCGCCTCCAGGCCTGGGCAAGGAAGGACCTGACTCCAACCACAGGACACACTTTCACCCTGGGTCCCTCCCTCAGCCAAGACCAGCTCCATGCTCACACTTACCGGTCTTGGCTCCTTCTCCTTCTCCATCGGGGTCCTCTGCTCCTGGAAGAGCAAACAGAACTGTTTCCAGTCCTTCTCTTCCCACTACACTGCCCTTGGGACGCAGGCTGAGCAGCCTGGACCTGAGGTCCAAGTGCTGGGCACAGAGGCAGAGCCCAAGACAGCACAGAGCAGAGCCCTGTGGCAGATGAGGGGACTCCGAGTTAGGAATCCAGTGGGCCCCCGGCCAAGGGCCAGCAGCTCGCCCCTCTACCGGACTCCCCACCGCATCACCTCACTCTCCCACTCGCTCCCCTACCCAGTCCTTACCACCCTCCAGCATGCACATGCACCCATCCTTTCACAGCTCACCCCACATGCAGCCTGTCACCCCACACGCAGCCTGTCAACTACCCAGTTCTGCCCCCCATTTCACCTGGGCCCTCTTCTTGATGAGAGATGACCAGACACCGTCTTTGCCTACTTTGACTACCTTCTGCTCTCACACTTCTTTACTCATGTCTCACCCACTCACCTACCACTCACCAGTCAATGTATTAACAAGGTCAAACCATCTGTCAAACTCACCAACTACCACATCCAAAGGCCACTCATCCTGACACCCCCCCACCCCCCTACCCAGTAAATGGCAGTGGCCTCAGACTCCCACTCTGGGGCTGACACACCTTCTCATAGTGACATCCCACCTGTCCTTAGCCTACTCGTATTCACGGACACACGCTTACCCCCTTCACCCCCCCATCACACTCGTTTGCACAGACACATTCATCCCCTCATCATGCTTCAGGCCCACACACCCGCCGCTCACTTCACTCCCTTCCACACTCACCCTGCCACATTTGCACAGGTCAGGCAAGCTCACGCTGGTCACATACAGCCTCAAGATCACACAGGCCCAATTCAGCAGCATTTGCATACCCTTCTCATGCTGACATCTACGTGACAACCAGAAGACACACTTTCACTCACCTGCATTCTCCTCTTCACAGCTCTGTTTGATCTTTCTCCAGCACACAAAGGCCAAGGCAACCAGCAGCACCACCAGACAGACAGAAAGTCCCACAGTCACCCACAGGGCCTCAGGGGGGAATGTCATGGGCTGCCCTGGGAGATGAAGAAGGGAGAAGAGGGAAAGGCTGTTATGCCTGACACCCATGGACCTGTGGTCAGCACACACTGGCTTCAGAGTATGAAGGGGAGACTCACACACACAGTGCTGGGTCCCAACACTATGCGGGAAATTCTGAAGCAGAGGAGGGAGCTGAGCCACAGAAATATTCCAGGGAAGAAGGGGCTCTTTCCGTGCTCATCCATGGCTACTGCCAGAGTTAAACATGGATCAGCTCTGCCCTCCTCTGACCAGTAAAAAGCAGGGTTCAGACTCGCACACCCAGATTCCTGTGCTGGTTCCATACAAAGTCCCCTCCTCATACAGGCGAGACCAGGTTGGAAAACCAGAAGGCTGAATCCCATAATACTTTACAAGGCACAAAGCTGCCCAAAGCAAAATACAGGCCAAGGGCTCTAAAGTAGGCCAGCCCTGCGCTAACAGAAACAGGAGGCTGGGTGGCAGGGAGAGAGGAAATTAGGCTGAGAGGCTAAAAGTCACGTCCTGATACTGGTCCATCTGCTCACTGCGGGGTGCTGGAGCCAAGGTCGATGGATCCCCTGGGATGAATTCAGAGACACCCCCCCGCCTCAAGCCCTCAACATTTAACTGCCAACTACTGTATCTGTCATTTATCCAAATTTTCGAAGAGGTGCCTGACACTCCTCCTCCCCCCCAGAGTCAGCATCTTTGTGCTGGCCTGTGGCCTTGGGAAAAGCCTCTTTCGAAACTGGCTTCACCTAGTGTCAGCTAGTGTCTGGCTTCCTAGTGTCTTAAATGAAAGCACTTTGTTTGTTAGCTACTACAGTTTGAAATAAGGATTTTTCTCTGAGATGAAGTAAATGCTCTCCCCGCAGTCATGCACATGCCACAGGCCCTTTCTGCACAGTGTTAAGGGCATCTGATCCAGGTGGGCACTGATGCTCCTGAAGACACCTGCCATGGGACCCCTCAACTCCCATCTGCCCTGGAGACTCTCCGGACCATGCCCACCATTCTGATCACTGCCCTGAATAGCTGGTATTTCTTATTCTCTCTTGTAAACACACCAGTCAGATGGGGAGGGAAATAAGGAAAATCACACAGAATCTGCTATCCTGACCCCAGACTACACTGGGAGGCCCCTATGAAAGCTCAGTCGGCCCAGAGAGAAGGAATGAAGAGACAGAGTGCTCCCCAAACACAGATGGAGACTCCCTTTCTTGGCCTGTGTGAGCCTGAGCCCAAAGTGGGCCCTAGAGAAGAGAAGGGTGCCTGGCCTAGGAGCCCACACCAGAGATTGAGGGAATCCCACATGGGCTGCGCAGATCTAGTGTTTGGCCACAAGAGGGCAGCAGAGACAGCCCAGCCCTTCAAATCGCAGCCTAGGTGGAGCTCAGCCCTGGAAACGCCTGGACCAGGGGTGAGGGGCTGGCCACCTGGAGAGGGCCAGCTGTTTCTCAGGATCTCAGAATCAGATGGTATCCTGGCCACGCAACACCTTCCTTCCCATCACCAGCAGCAACTCCTGCAGCAAAGCACTGCCTCCCCATGTCCTTCCGCCTTGCCCTAGAACTCTCGCCCACACCTGGAATCTATGCCTGATTCCAGGCAGACACTCAGCACCCTGAATAGAACCACAAGAACCACCTAAAGTGTTTTGAGGAAGCCAGTATCACAAATGAGTCTCGTTAGCTCATTAAAGCAAGTTCCATAAGGATGTCTTGGTGGAAAATTTGAGACACCTGCAATGTACAAAATGTAGGAGAAGTAAAAACTCTTCTGCCTGCTAGCTCGTTTAGAAAAAAGCAACTGTTCCCTCCACTCATCTCCAGCTGCTGGTCTACCCCGTCCTTACCTGTGATGGTGACCGAGCCGTGAGCATCCTGCTGCAGCACCGGGTTGCGCACGAGGCAACTGTAAGTGCCATTAGCTCCCAGCACCACCCTCAGGACGCTGCGCACGTCGAACAAGCCCTGCTCATTGGCCATCTGCGACGTAGTGACATTGCCGGTCAAGGGCGCACCCTGCCCGTCCTGCCAGTACACCTCTGCCTCCGGATAGCCGCGGTAACTGGAGCAGGTGACGGTCACCATGTCCCCAGGCCTCAGGTCCTTATTGGGCTCCAGAGTCATGCTTGGTTTCGAGTAGGGAGCTGGAGGGGTGCAGAGGGTAGAAGCCATGGGTCAAGATGAGACCAAGCAAGGGGCATGGTGGAGGAAAAGTGCTAGAGGTCAGCCCTGAGGCAGAGGATTAAGGGGCCCTGGGCAAGGTGAGGGGTGTACCAAGGGAAGGCACCCCCCCCCTCCCTGCGCTCACCCGCCACCTGCAGGCTGACTGCGGCACTGCCAAAGTCACGGATGCTCACGAAGCAAGTGAAGCTGCCCTCATCAGCCACGCGCACGCGCTGTAGCCTCAGAGATGCGTTGCCCTGAGCCAGCAGTTCAGGGAAGAGCGAGGTGCGGTTGGCATAGGCGCTGCCCTGGTCGCGGCCGTCGGCAAAGCTGTGCACCAGCTGCTTAGTGTCGGTTAGCTGCCAGATGAGGCTGAGCTGTGCCAGGCTGAATCCGGGCTCCGGTGAGAAGGAGCAGCGCAGGGTGGCATCGGTACCCACCAAGGCCACCACAGGATCTTCTGGAACCTGGACCTCCACGGCGCCTGAGAGCGGGGATGGAGTGTCAGCGTGGCCAGGGAGGAAGACCATGGTCCCCTTCCCCTCTCAAGTTAACTCCAGGCCCTGTCCACACTCCCTGCAAGGCCCGAGCCCCAAGGTAAGTTTATTACTTGTGGTCCTCACTCATTCATCACGGCTCTATTAAGCACCCACTGTTTGCCAAAAGTAAACGTTATAATGCAGAGGAGAACAAGACCAAGTCACACCCCTACAAAATTTACATTTTAATGGGGCAGAAGTACAAACTGGCACACAACTTTTCATTGGCCTGTGATGAGGGGTGTGAAGTAGACAACTGATTAGAAAGTCATGTGGTGGCTTTTCCCGGTACTTTGCACCTGTGTGCTGGTCGTATTTTCCCATTAAGTATATATCCACTTTATAAATTGGGAAGAAGAGTATGAAAAGAGTGTACACAGAGGTTTACTGGTAATATAGGTTAATGGAGGTTTCCCCTGGATGAGGAAAGGTCATTTCAAGTGCTTTTTCTGTTTTCCTAAAGCTTCTATGCAAGAATGAAAGAATACCCAAGATTTTAAATATAGTGGTGAGGCACAATCTCTCTAACAAGCTATTAAGCTGAGACTTAACAGGAAGGAAGAAGAGCCAATTTAAGAGTGTTGCAGATAGAGGGACAGCAGGTGGGAAGGCCAAGCTTGCAGCTGAAAATATCAGAAAGGCATGGTCAAAGCCTCTGGACACGGGGCAAGTCCAAGCCAGACCATAGAGGCTTTGAGACGGCAGGAAGGAAGTTAGGGTTTTCTGTGTGCAAGGGGAAGTCACCTAAGCACTTGGGGCATAATATGGGCAGCAGTGCTTGAAACACATTCTGCCTCTGCAGTGCGAATGCACTAGAGGTGGTTTCAGCAGTCCCTGTAAAAACAGTGATGGCTCCGTTTCCAGAGGTGGCAGTGGCGATGGAGAACACGAGACAGATTCAAGCTTTGTGAAAGCCCATAGGCTTGCTGATGAATTCCAGGTCAGGGAAACACAGAAACATGTACGTCTTTTACCTTCCCTGGAAGCAAGGGCAAGCATATCCAAGAAACCTACCCCCAGTGGGTTTCCCTGCCACCCATCCTATGAATTTACCCCACCCAGCCACCTCTTTCCACCTGTTCCAGTTCTTCTTTAAGTGTCAAAGTTAGGGGCTCCCACAACCTTTCTGTTCTGTGGTTGTCTCTCCACCCTGGCATTGTCATTCTTGCGTACGGTCAGGTTAAGTGTGCAAAGCAGGCATACTCAAAGCAAGTGAAACTCAAATGTCTCAACACAAAACTTTTGAATATAACACGCACTAAAAGCTTCTTGTATTTAGAAAAATAACATTTTATGATTTGTATTTTTGTGAATTAAACACAGAGAGGGAGTTATAATGTTGCAATGCCATCGCTATGCTACAGGCTATAAGCTCACCCTGGATTCCTTGCTGTGTCCAACCAGCTTGAACTGCTGGACCAGGATACCCCTTGTAAGGGGTATTTGGGGATGAAACCCAGAAAACATCCTTTGTCTAGAGAAATCAGAGCAGCATGGATAGAGATGTACTTCCTCCTTATGACCAGCAGACGGCGCCATACACTTGGCTTTGTCTTGCTGGTGGCAGCACAAGGTCGTGCCTCCCTCAGAGCACACAGATAAGAATTTGAAAGATGAAGTGGATCCTATTGAAGAGGCTGCCATTATTGCATGCTGGCTCTGTGCCAAGCGCTACATGGAAAGATTTACATCATTTACTCAACATGGTTACTGAATACCTACTATGTGACTGGCACCCATCTTGGCCCGGGAATAGCATATGCTCTTTGAATAGTGGAGGCAATAATAAGCAAGAAAACACTTAAGGTGTCAGGTGGAGATAAAAGTTGGGGAGATGCATAAAGTAAGACGAGGGACATGGCCTGCTACTGTTACCGGGTAGCCAGGAAATCTTGCTGAAAAGGTGATATTTGAGCCACGGTTGAACAAAATGAGGTATCAAGTCAGGCAGACTTTGAGGCCCAAGTTCCAGCAGAGGGAATAGGATATACAAAGGCCTAGGGAGGAACACATGCACACGGTGTGTTCAAGAGACAATATTTTCGCCTTTAGTGTTCACAAGAAATGTAAAATGAGTTGTCTGTTAGATCCCTGGGACAGGGCACAGGGCCTCTGCTTCCCTGCTGGACAGCGAGGCTTTGCAGGAGCTGAGGTGGGAGTGGGTTCCCTTCCCCTCACCTGTGAGGCAGAACCACAGCACGCCCAGAGTGGCGGCCACGGGCACACTCCTGCCAGGGCTGTGCCAGCGATGTAGCATCTTCCCAAGAGGCAGCTGACAGCTGGGCTCTCCGTAGTGGAAGGCTGCCCCCCGCCTGTGAGGAAGAGGAAATGAGGCCTTTGGTGAGGCTTTGTGTCAAATGGTCCTCCCAAGCCTTCTGTCACTTCATGTCCTCTGGATCAACTTGGGCGGAGGTGGGGCCTCCCTCCCATTCCCAAGGCTCCTGAGGTATGGTGTGTTTTCAGAGATGCAGGCGGGAGGTAACTGAGTCACTGTGGAGGCTGGACAAGAGGAGGCGGGGCAGGGCAGCTGGGCTCCGCCTTTCAGAACTGAGATGTTTGTCTACTGCTACAAGGAAACAGCAGCAGGCAGCAGGCACAGCTTGGTTACTGCCGCAAGGATATGCACAGCTCACCAGCCGGCAGGCAAAGGACCTGAAGCTGTGGCCAGACCGAACAGGCTGAGTGTCTGAAATGTATCCTGAAAGCAGCTGGGATCACTGGAGGCTCACGATGACTGGGCCAGCACCTGTGGGTCATGGAAGCCCTGGGCAGGAACGATGAGCAGGTCTGGATGAAGGTGGCCCTGGGGGACACAGAGAGGATGGAGTAGGGGGGAACATGGTTCTGAGCCCAGTAACTAGTGTGACATCCCCCAGATGAATATGGGGAGCTTAGTACAGGCGTGTGAGGTCAGCAGTGTTGGTGCAGACTCTTTAGGGCAGAGTTCCAGGAGGCACCTGGGTGTCTGGGGGAGGGGCTGGTTCTGGAGCGATGATGTTAACTAGATAATCATAGTACATGGGGTGACCAAGACCCACCAGGAATGAAGAGGCCAGGACTGGGTGCCTTAGGGCTGGAGCAGGACTGAGAGGTACATACAGTCAGACCTGAGCCAGGGGCCTCCCAGGCCTCCCTGGGCCCGGTCCTGCTCCTTCCCAGTCCTGGCTGCTCCTCAAGGTGTTTGCCTTAGGCTGGCTGTTCCCACTTGTCAGGCTGCTGCGTCAGCCCTGTAACCAGGGTCAGCCTGTGCAATCCAACTGAAATTCACTATACTGGTGTAGAAATGTAATGGTGTGTATCCCTGCCACATTCTCTGAACCGCATGGGGTGGCCTCCTATTGCCGAAGATTTAAAAAAAAAAAAAGAGCACCCTGAGTAGTGAGGCAACATTGTTAATATGATGTCATTTGCTGGTCAGCACAGCTGAAGATGGGGTTTCCCAACCTTGTGTCTAAAGTCTCTGCCTTTCATGAAGCAAAGCTAGCAAACCTCATCAGCCGACAGCCATAAGCATCAGTTCCTGTCACACACTCTCAGCCTCAACCCATCTGATCCCCGCCAAGCACCCCACCCCCACACACTGGAGGCTGGGTTGAGGGACTCCCTCAGGCCCAACTAGGTGCTTCCTGCCCAATACCTCCCCACCCCCCCACCACACACACACACACACACACACAGACCAGGGAAGTCCTTAGCACCCACTTCCTCCCCAGATGCTTCCGCCAACCTGGCAGCCTCCAAGCCTCTGGCTGCTGAGTCAGCAGCCTTCCCGCTCCATTCATCAAGGCACCCCCTGCGGGTACCGCATCCTGTCCTCCAGCAGCCACCACAGCCCACAGGAAAATCTGTTACATGGCAGCGAGAGGGACACGACTGAACCCTCAAATGCCTGCCTGTACTAAGTAGGTTCTGTCATAGCCACATCAAGACAAAACATGTAAGACCTTCAGTGGAAAGGAACTTTAATACAATCAGTGTATAATACAGAAAGGACAGAAAATATAGTTTCTAAATCAAACACCCAAAGTTACCCGTCCCCTCGTGGGTGAATCTACCCAAAAGGGATTGGCCCAAAGCAAGGCCTGACAGCCCACCACAAGTCTAAAGCACCTTGAGGCAGGGACTCATAGAAAAGGGTCAGAAATGGCCAAACAAGTCTGGGAGGAAAAGAGCAAAATCAAAATCAAGATAAACGCTGCCATAGTGAATCTCCCTACAGGGCTCTCACCCACATCTGTTTCACCCAGTCCAGGGCCAAGAGACAAGACAAAGCTTCTTCACATGTCTCTCTGTTCCATGTGCCTCCCTCAGGTCACCTTCTGGCTCCCTATCCTGCTTTCTTCTCCTTCAGTCTCCTCTCCGGATTCTTCTCTTCCCCTGCTCAGCTCCACCCTCTGGTCCCAACATGCTTTTCTTTGGTATTGATGGGATTTGTAGTTCCAGTATCTGGGGTGGGGGTGGAGCCCATGAAACTTGTATCTGTAGAGGATGTCGTTCAGGACATTCTTTCCCCCTTACAAAACCAGCAGTACCCCCCTATCCCCTGCCCTGGAAGACCCAGGGACCAGTGTTTAAGAATCCAGTCTCCCTTCTGCTCTCACCCCAGAATATTCTTCCTGGGCCACGTGCCATACCTTTCCCACCACAGCTCTGTCTGGCATCTCCATCCTGACCTGTGCCATCACAACTCCTGGGACCCTCTCTACTGCCCTGCTGTCTCCACTCTGTCCCCACCAAGCCTATTCTCTGAAGCCTCTTAAAACCTGAGCAGGAATCTGCTTCCCCTCCTACTCAAGAACTTCCCATGGCTCCACATTTACCACTGAAGTAATCCCACATTCCTTTGCCAAGCTCTCAGGACTGTAACTTTCTTGTAACTGTCTCCTCCATACACCAAGCTACTTCCTGCCGCTGGGATTTCACACCCCAGTCTTGGGAATGCCTGCCGTCTACATATATGTGAGACTTCAGGGAGCAGCTGTCTTCTGCAGACCTTTTAGGGTCCACATGGCCCAATGATGGGATGCTTTTAGGCTTGCTCCCTTTGAGTCCTTTCTTGGACTCTGGACCTAGGAATCTTCCTTGCCTTATGGCCTATTCTGGAGAGAAGCCTGACAGCACAGAACAGAGGACATCTGAGAATTGCAGGGCACCAGAAGCTCCTAGCTCAACAGCGGGGCCCCAGAAATCAAATGCAGGAGGGAAGAATACATGTTAGCGGTAGTTGCTGCTCAGGAAGGGAAGTATGGCCTGGAGACAAAAAGCCAGTCACTGTTCCTTGACACTTGGGAGCCCCAACACACAGCACCTCATGGAGATTCCAATCTCACATTGCACAGAAGCCAGCCTGCCCACCTTTTCTAAATGGGAGTTCTCTGCCCAGGCAGGAGCCCCGAAGCCACACTGCCACCCCTTCCCACTCCTCCTGCATCTCTTCCTCCTCCTCTTCCTTCCTTTCTTCTTTCTCCTCTTCTTCCTTCTCCTTTGTCTTTCTCTTCTATCCCAGTCTCAGTTGAATGTTGGGATTCCAAGGACCTTGCCAGGAAAGACCACAGAGCAGGAGTGAGGGGCACAGGACACCCCTAGTCTAAGGGTCAGGCTACAGCACATTTGGAGCCAAGATGTGCTCCCATAAAGCTAAAATCAGAAAACAATGTCTGAAACTGGGCTCTATACCAAGAGGCCCTGGACATGGAGATGCCCATGAGGAACCATCCTGCTTGCCTGTACCATGACCACCAGCAGCACCCCATTCCCCCCAATCCCTGCAGGGGAAGCTTGGATAATACTTCCCAAAAGAAAATGAGAGGAGTCAGGTCACACTATCAAGTGTCAATGTGTGCTAACCAGCAGAGCAGGGAAGCGAAGCTGCTGACAACTGAGTGGAAGTCACGGGCAGCCCATGGACCCAGCTGTGCCTGCAGCAAGGCGCACACGCAGACTGCTCCTGTCCTCAGCCAGGCTCAGTTAGGCTTCTCTCACCTGTGATTGAGGGAGACTTTGCATATACATTCTTTCATGTACTCACTAATTCATTTCACCACTCACTAAGTTGGCAAACACTGGGAACAGGGAGGAAAGACAGTCACGTGCTGTCCTCAAGGCACCTGCATTCCAGTCACACAGATGAACATGCACATCATTCCCTGGGGAACAGTCCAGGATACCACTTCAGCTACAGCGAGGGTCACTTGGAGGCACCTCAGAGACACAAGAACCCTGAAGATGAGTCCTGAAGAATGACAAGAGCTGGCAAAGTGGCCCCTCCCAGCTCCAAGACACCTGTGCTTCTGCACTGCCTGTCACCTCTCTTTGAAATAGTAACAAGTGATCCCAGAATCTGGCATGGTCTAGTTCCAGCTCTGACACTTTGCTGTGCAATCTTAACAGGTGACTTTCCCTTTCTGAGTTCAGTGTTCCCACCTATAAAGAGCTTTGCTGATGCTAACAGAAAACCACTCATACTTTAAGCTTCCATGTGCTAGATCCTCAAGTCCTAGTCATTTAGCTGTCATCCAGGTCACACTGAAATGTGTAAAGTGGCCAGGGCAAAAAACACTAGGTTCCCTCTTATGTGTATTCTAGTCTGTAGAGTTTTTAGTTGAGCACAGAGTCACCTGCCTAAATACTACAAATCCCAGGCCCCCTTATACCTGGGTGTGGACACGTGACCATTTTCTTGCCAATCGCGTGTGAGAAGAACCTGATGTGTACAACTTCTGGACCATGTCCTTAAAGAGAGAGAACATACTCTCTCCTTCCTCCTCCACCTCCTCCCCAGCCCCCCACCCCCACTGTCTAGAGCACAGATGCAGTGAGCCATCTGGGATCACACTGACAAAGGTAACACCCTAGCGCCTGCAGCGGAATCAATCCCAGACATGCCTGAACTGAGACGGGGTGAGCAATAGCACCTATTGTGTAGTCACTGTAATTCAGGGTCTTTGTTAAAGCATGTGAAATACCAATCCAGGGAGCCAGCCTTCCTTACTTCTCCTCCTCCTCTTCACTGGTCAGAGCAACAGAAGGAAACCACTTAAAATAGGAATTTCAATATAGGACTTGGACACCATCCCATCTGCTTGGGCTTGGGGTTATCTGTATGGGAGGGAAAGAATCAAGGCTGTATTGAAGGTTTGACTAAATGGCATATGTGGGCAGACAAAATAAGAAGGGGAAACCTGAGAATGAAGCACAGTGAGGGGAAAGAACAGCTCCTTCCGAGCTTGAGCTTAGGTGATCCATGCCAAAATGCCTGATGGACTCAAGGGCACAGAGCTGGAGTTCTGCTCTGGGTGGTTATAGAAGCCAA